TTTAAATAGTTTTAAATTCTTCTACCTGGTTCCTGCGTCTCAGGCATCCTTTCCTTGCCAATAATATCTCTCCTATTGTCATTTGAAACAATTGCACTCTTGCAGTCATTGCTTTAATCCTAATATATACACAGATATATATACAGTACATACATAATGGGGTGTATGAGGTTTGAGGTGAAGGTTCGCCACTACCATGAGTCTATGGAGAGTTCTACCTTTTCAAGGTTTGCCATCTCAGCAAATTAAGGACCGTTCTATACTATAGCTAGAGACCTGCATTTTGCTGCTCTATGAAAATGCAGGTCTCTGTGCCGTATTCATACCAAAATGCTGGTTTTATATGCAGTATAGAGCTGTGCATATATATGTAACATGTCTAAATTTCTCTGCACAGCAAACGCACATAAACGAACTGCAGCCCTGAAAAAGGAAAAGGAATTTATGACACATCATACAGGGGAAAAAAAAAAAAAAAAATCAGGAAAAAAACCACATGGCAACTGATGTCAAAGTGTAAAAAAGTGGTGTGAACACATATCTATGCACTTTAAATCTGTGCATTTATTCTATGTGTTTTTATGCACATATATAGTGTGAATAAGCCGCAAGTGCTTGTTCACACTATGCAGACCAGATTCTTTGTAACCATAATTTGCTGCAGCCACGATTTGGATTGATGTAGAAGTGTGGAACTCGCTCCCCCAGGAAGTGGTACTAGTCAAGAGTGGAGACAACTTCAAAAAAAATGTTTAGATGTTTATTGGAATTGTTAGATAATAAAAATCACACACACCTGTGTCTTTTTCAACCTTATAAACTATGTAAACTGGCTTAGAAGGGTCAGTAAGGGACTTTTGGATAAGCCAGTCCCCTCCCTATAAAAGGGGGAGGGCGCAGCAGCCATAATGATAACATGCTGTAATAGAGAAAGCCTAGGAAGTGCTGATGACAAAGTGCAAAGGAAGAGATTAGTGTAGGGCTTACAGGCACAGGCAGGTCTGCTAACATAGATGTAAGGCTGACCATACAATATGCAATCTAAGTGTACAATCCCCTTTTAGATCTATAACAAATCAGGTATAGCAAAGACTTGCATGGATTGATACTAATGACATGGATTCATAAAATAGAAAGGAGGTCATAAAGAGATTGTAGCATGTATAGCCAGCGTAAACCTGTACTGAATATCCTGTAGGTAGAAAAATGCTCTGGATCTTAGACAATTTTAAGAGGGGTGGTAAGGGAATTGATTTTTACCTTTTGTTCATCCTTTGTGACATCTTGATGTATATGTAAACCCTCACCTTGTAAATTAATCCATATAGTTTAAAATATAAATGAGGTTAAACATTTATGTATACATATAAAACCATTATAAATACCTTTTTCCCTTTTTTTATACGTGATCACATATCCCCTGTTCTCAGCTGCATAGAGAGGTGAGGGTGCATAAACAGCAGTACACTGATCTTCCTAGTGAATTGCTGTGCATGGGGATGTGTCAGGACAAGTCTGATTATTGGAGGAGAGCAGGCTGAGTTCCCAGCACATCTAGAGAACTGACTACGCAGTGATCTTATGCCTACTGTGCTCAGTTTCTAAGAAAGCAGAGGGACTGGCAGAAACACTTGGGATTTTACACAAAGGAAGCAATACAAAGAAAACAAGACACTTTTTCATACAAGTACATGGTACAGTAGGCACATAATCGGGAATATGAAATGTTGGCTTTACATATTCTTTAATGCTGCTGATGCTCTACAAATTCTTTAGAATATTTCACTATTCACATGAACTACTAGCTGTTGCTGGTTGCAATAGCTATTTCAATGAAATTTGAAGATTCCTCTTATTAAAAGGCCTGCAACCCCCACTCCCCAAGTCAAACCACCTTCAAAAAGGTGATGTGAAAATGTGGTTGCTAAAGAAAAAAAAAACCTTGACCCAGGCTTCAAACACTTATGGGAGACACTCCTGAGAAAGCTAGGCACTTGAAATCCTGCAAGAATTTAGGGATGTATTCCCATGGGATTTTGAGCGCCCAGCTATCCCAATAGGTAGTGGTGAGGTATGGTGATGTCATCTGTGCCTCTGGGAGGCTGCACATGAAGATGCTGCATTAGAAACCCACAAAGACTATCACTGCTGACCCCATGCACTACACACAGGAGCCCCTGTTGCTGGAAAAAAAAACACAACTAAAAAAAGCAAACATTCGCTTTTTGTGCAGAATACAACAATGATAACCTTTTGTGAGTTTCAAGGAGAGTGGATATATGTTTATCCAGCATTACCTGTCTGTATCCTACATATTAACTCCTTATAACTTCACAACTCCAAATGTACAGAAGATTAAGCTTTTTAATACAAATCACAAAACTACATACAGTGAGGAACAGAAGTATTTGAACACCCTGCGATTTTGCAAGTTCTCCCACTTAGAAATCATGGAGGGGTCTGAAATTCACATTGTAGGTCCATTCCCACTCTGAGAGACAGAATAAAAAAAAATTCAGGAAATCACATTGTATGATTTTTAAAGAATTTATTTGTCTTGCACTGCTGAACATAAGTATTTGAACACCTGAAAAAGTCAGTGTTAATATTTGGTACAGAAGCTTTGTTTGCAATTACAGAGGTCAAACGTTTCCTGTAGTTCTTGACCAGGTTTGCACACACTGCAACAGGGATTTTGGCCCACTCCTCTACACAGATCTCCTCTGTCAGGTTTCGGGGCTGTCACTGAGCAACATGGAGTTTCAGCTCCCTCCAAAGATTTATATTGGATTTAGGTCTGGAGACTGGCTAGGCCACGCCAGAACCTTGATATGCTTCTTACGGAGCCATTCCTTGGTTATCATGGCTGTGTGCTTTGGGATGTTGGAAGACCCAGCCACGACCCATCTTCAATGCTCTGACTGAGGGAAGGAGGTTGTTGCTCAAAATCTCACAATAAATGGCCCCATTCATCCTCTCCTTAATACAGTGCAGTCGTCCTGTCCCCTTCGCAGAAAAGCACCCCCAAAGCATGATGTTACCACCCCCATGCTTCACAGTAGGGATGGTGTTCTTGGGATGCAACTCATCCTTCTTTTTCCTCCAAACACGACGAGTGAAGTTTAGACCAAAAAGTTCTACTTTGGTCTCATATGACCACATGACTTTCTCTAATGCCTCCTCTGGATCATCCAGATGGTCATCGGCAAACTTCAGACGAGCCTGGACATGTGATGACTTCAGCAGGGGAACCTTCCGTGGAATGCATGATTTGAAACCATGACGGCGTAGTGTTCTACCGACAGTGACCTTTGAAACTGTGGTCCCAGCTCTCTTCATGTCATTGACCAGCTCCTCCCTTGTAGTTCTGGGCTGATTCCTCACCTTTCTTATCATCAGTGATACCCCAGGAGGTGAGATCTTGCATGGAGCCCCAGTCCGAGGGAGACTGACAGTCGCCTTTAACCTCTTCCATTTTCTAACAATTGCTCCAACAGTTGATCTATTTTCACCAAGCTGCTTGGCAATTGCCCCGTATCCCTTTCCAGCCTTGTGGAGGTCTACAATTTTGTCTCTGGAGTCTTTTGACAGCTCTTTGGTCTTGCCCATGGTAGTAGTTGGCGTCTGACTGACTGTGGGGTGGACAGGTGTCTTTAAAGAGCTCAGACAGGTGCTACTAAGTTACATTAATGAGTGGAGTAGAGGTGGACTTTTTAAAGGCACAGTAACAGGTCTTTAAGAGCCAGAATTCTTGCTGTTTCTTAGGTGTTCAAATACTTATGTTCAGCAGTGCAAGACAAATAAAATTCTTTAAAAATCATACAATGTGATTTCCTGAATTTTTAATTCTGTCTCTCAGAGTATGAATGGACCTACAATGTGAATTTCAGACCCCTCCATGATTTCTAAGCGGGAGAACTTGCAAAATCGTAGGGTGTTCAAATACTTTTGTTCCTCACTGTATATCCATTTTCTTGACATTCATAAAAATGTACATGCCTACACTAGTGATGTACAGACTCTACCAGTCCAAAGAAATGTAAAAGTTAAAATGTTTAAATATGTTTATTGTTCTAAAATGTAGAACAAAAATAACAGAAAAGTAATCAAACAAGGTTGACATGGTATTTAAGAACACTGCAGAGCAAAGATCAGAGATTTCTATAATAATATATTATGGTAGGCTGACTAACATAGCATAAAATGTAAAAAAATAAGGACAGCAACAGTACAAATATCTAACACCTTCATTAATATAACCCAATATGATCCATCAGACATAATTACTTCCTATTAAAAATTTTAAAACAATGACAGCAACAGTGCTAATATTGAGCACCTTCATTAGTAAAACCCAACAAGATCTGTTAGACATGATTACTTCCCATGAACAATGTAAGAACTATAACAACAGCAGTAACAGTGCAAATAGCAAACACCTTCTTTGGTAAAATCTAACACGATCCATCAGACATGAATAATTCCATGAAAAATTTATTGGATTTTCATTTTAAAACCAAAATGTCAATACCTTTACTTGGAACTATGACTTAGGGCTCATGCACAGAGTTTAAAAAAAAAGCCTTTACAGGCATTGAGCAGTTTTTTTTTTAAGCCTGTAAAAATACCTCTGTATAAGTCTATTTATCCATGCACACAGGCATTTACAGGCATATTACAAGAGGAGCATTTACAGACTGAAAAAAATTCCAACAAAGGTGCATTCAGAAGAGGAGATGAAAAGTAGAAAAACACAGAATTCCAATGGCCAAAATAAGTGATTAATTTATGGCCAATAGATTGCATTAACGCTCAAATGCTAAACGCATCTAAACGCATGTGCAATAACTGCTTTTAGGATGTGTAAGTTCTGAAGCTCAGAGGGCCTTAAACATGACACCCCAAAATGAGGCCTTATCCATGTCAAAAATTACAGACTGCACTTTCCTGAGATTAATAAAGATATTTTCAATTTGATCCTTCCATATGTACAACTATGTTTATTGTACAGGTGGGTAATATATGTCTATCAACTTATCACAAACATGTAACTCCACATAGGATGCTCCCAACTTCCTGCTTGTCTGTTTAGTTAGTAAAAGCTCATCTTTTGGCTCCACTGTACAGTTTCGCAGATCAAAATCTTTTGTAAAGCATATTTCAATCTGTCCCAGAGTCTGAGCATCTTCACCCTGAGAAAGACAGAGAGACATCATTGAAATGATTGTATTTAACCACATATTGTATGGAGTATTCACTCCCTTGAAAATGTTCACGTTTTATGGTCATAGAACATCAAAAGGAGATTTGTTTTGTCTTTTGTCTTTTGACATTGATCATCAAAAAATAGCTTCTTTTAAGTCAAAGTTAAAACATATTTCTGAAAAGGTATTCAAATTAATGGAAAAAAAACATGAATGAACACCTTTTAATGTAGCACGTCTAAATTATCTTAATATCAATAAATGTTGAGCGGAGTATAAATAGTAAATCGCTCAATGAATCGTGAAATAAATTAACATACGTTATCTCCAAGTTGACTACCATATATTCATGAGTCAAATTAAATCTCCTGTGAAAAAATGTCCATGAATCAACTTAAAATCAGTAATTAGGAAGTGTTCATAAATCAGCATGATCCGTGATAAGTGCTCCACCACCACCAAACACATCTTTTTACCAGAAAAAAAAGACCCCAGGTTATAGGAGGTCTATACAGGCTGTGTGTAATCCACTCTGGTGTCACTTGTATGGTGTTCCGATGCTCAGATATCTTTTCTCTTTAGAAGGCACTCAAATACAAGAAAAGGCCTCCATAGTGAAGTTCCGCAATAATTTATTAAATAAAAACCAAAACAATTCTACTCACAAAACAAACACGTCAAAAATCACATTCAGATACATTCCCAGGAGGATTGGGGTCTATGCTGACCATCACCTTTGCTTACTGGGGCCAGCACCAGACGCATTGTGTCTGAAAGGGGAAGAGCAGTCTATGCTGATGTCACCTTCGCTTGCTGGAACCTGCACAAGTATCATTCTGTCTGAAGGGGAGGAGTCTATGCTAATGTCACCTTTGCTTGCTGGGGCTGGCATCAATACATTCTGTCTGAATGTGATTTTGGACTGATCGTTTTGTGAGTAGAATTGTTTTGGTTTTTATTTAATAAATTATTGTGGAACTTCACTAAGGAGACCTTTTCTTGTATTTGAGTGCCTTCTATAGGAAAGATATCTAAGTATCGGAACACTGCATGAGTGACACCAAAGTGGATTACACAAAGCTATATGCCTGTATAGACCTCCTATAACCCGGGGGTCTATTTTTATGGTAAAAGGCTGTGTTTGGTGGTGGCGGAGCACCTATCACAGACCATGCTGAGTTACGGACACTTCCTAATTACTGGTTTAAGTGGATTCATGGACATTTTTTTCATGGGAGATTTAATTTGACTCATGAATATGTTGTATATGGTAGTCAAATTGGAGATAACGTATATTAATTTATTTCACAATTGAGTAATTTATCATTTATACTCAGCATAACATATATTGATTTTTTTATATATATATATATATATATATATATATATTGGAATGTTTGTGAGTGCAGCTGAGAAATGATTTATTGTGGTATATCACTAAGCTCATAGAAATGAAGAGTTTTTTTTGTAGGTCTAAATTATCACTGTGTAGTCAATTCTTTTTCAAAGTAACATTATTATATAAAAAAAAAGACAGAGTTGGCTCTGAGGAAGAGGCAAGTCCTCGAAACGCGTCAGCTTGTTGGAGGTCCAGAGTTCCCATTACGGACAGACACGTAGTGCGGATTGGACAGAGCTGTTCTTTCACGTTTGCCTTTGACTGTATTGTCATTTTGTGAGTACAATACCTAATTTTATTATTTAATACATTGTTTAAGGTAATGCACTAGGCCGGTGTGCCCTCTGTTTGTTTTTCTCCACTCAGTAATTTTTGGACTTCCCCAGTCATTTGAGGGCAGCAAGGCGTGCATATCCCAAGATATTTGTGTGATGTGGTCCTATATATACAGAGTCCATCCCTAAGCGCAGGAGTATCTGGGTTTGCCATAAAAAAAAAGACATCACCTGTGTGCAATTAAGGAGCTGTAGCATAAATATGTACTGTATATCTGAAGATTCAACTTCTGGTGTATTGGTAGTGTGGTATAACCTGCACTATAAAATTAAAAGAACACTCCAAGCTACTATATGAAAAAAACAATTGAAAGCCCATGTCAAGGGATGTATACAAGAACTTTTCTAAATCCGGGGTTACTCCTTGGAGCACAGTTAAATCACTAATAAACAGAAACACTATGGTACAATTGTAAATTAGTGCAGAATAGATCATCAATCAAAAGTGAATGATTGTGCCAGCAGGCTAGAAGCCAGAAAGAGACCAATGACTACACTGGGGTCATCAATAACCTTAGTGCCTGAGATTAACAAAGCCTTCTTGAGCACAAATGACTTACAAAAATCACATCATATACATTTAGATACTCTGTTGTTTATTTGTACATAAACTGTAGCCTAAAGTTACTTTCCTTCCATGCTTCTGGTTGATGAATTAGATTTGACAAAAGTCAACTTGTGAAAAATGGCTGATGAGAAAATGACACTTCTGGACACCTAGGTATATATTTAGAGTTCTTATTTATTGGCAATTTCTGAGCAGTTTGAATAACTGAATATTTTTTTTAGCATACACATACAAGACAATAGAGAGCACACATGTGGTCCTGTGTCATCATGTTTGCTCACTTTTGCTATTCAGCAATGCCTGAAATTCTTTTACAGCATATAGGGCTGGGCTAATACCTCAGCTTCTGTTTTTTTTAGTTCTGCGTCTTTTATCTGCATTCAAATTATGTAAACTCTGTGACTAACTAATAATTACCAGACAAGTCTGTAAATCAGGTCAATGACCTCCCCTGGAATTTATGCTTGTCTGTCAACCACACTACTGTCCTGTGATCCAGACAATGACAAGAAAACACAATCTGTCTATTAAAGCAAAAAAAATGTTAATTCTTGTACTACAGCATATTGACAAAGTGACAGCATCAGCAGTTGTGTGGAAAAGCACATGAAAAAGAAAGATAGAGTAGGGAATAAATGTTTGCAAACCTCATTACTATAGTGTTAATCATAGAAGGATTGTTATAAATTAATATGTGCCAAACCCAGCACTGCCAATTGGAATAGCAATGTGATGGCATCAAGAAACAATGTTAATTTAATTATGTGTTGCCCTTTTACTATATCTCTTCAGGTATGTTAGAAAGCTTCAATCTTGCAATATTAGTGAGCTCCAGCAAACCTTTATATAAAGACAAGTGTTTAAAATCCTGGTAGAAAAGTGATTAACAGACCTGTTGGAAAGGGTCTGTATATAGCTGAGCCTCAGGAATTAGGAGCCCTCAATCTGTGTGAACAATCTACTGCTGCGTCTTCTCTAAATTGTTCCCTTTCGCATTCCAGCCTCCTTCACGTACAATGCAGGACTAATAGCCCTGCATTGTATATTATGCCCACAAAGGTGAAGAAATAGAGTGGCGGGGGAAGGGGGGGTTTGGTAAGTCAATTAGTATATTCTCTTCACCTCCAACAAGCAAGCATTTCAAACCTTGCAGTCTGGGTGGAATTGGGTAGGGGGGGCTGCAAAAGTTTGGTTTCTCCTGAACGTTGCAACATTGCTATATACTGTCCGCATTTCAGTAGATTTGTATCTTAAAATCTAAATTACTGTAATATGATGTTCAGAACCTATGCGTCTGATTAATTGTGCCGACATTACTTTATTGCCCTAATGTTATACTATACACTGCACACTAATGAGAAATAAGAGAAATAAGTGTGCTACATGTCCAGTTAAGGAATAAATAGCAGACAAAAATTGGTTTTCACAAACCAATAGATTTTTTTTTCTTTTTTCTACTTCTCCTTTTGCATTTTACTCCTTATGTTATTTTTTCTTTCAATTTTAACTGTCCTACATTGATTGGTCTTGTAATTTATCCATGTGTGCTTCTATATAGGGTCAGCTCTGTTCTCCAGCCTTTTCATGCAGTAATTTTTGTCTATAGCGTAAGTGATCCGATTTTTTTTTTTTGTACTTGTTGCAATCAGCTTGCAATAGTTAGCCTAAAAGAGTGACTGTGGGTAAGCCAAGGATCCCACACAGTTTGGTACTGTGTGGAAGGGAGTCATGAAAAAAAGCAGGTAAACCCATTCCATGAAAAAACCTTTGTCACTGCGCTTAGTGATCAAATTAAATAATCAATCCTACAGCTGCACTCAGAAAACATCCATCATATAAATTATACTGTCACAAAAAAAGTTGTGCTGTAAATAAATAAGTGAATAACTAATAAAACAGCAAATATTCAAATAATGATATATCCTAACGAGACATATAATTAAAAGTCCAAATCATTAACGTTTTCCCCTGAAAGAAGTGTCCGTCAACTTCAATCTATTGTGAGAAGTCCATTCACCACCAATATAACCAGCCTCTTATCCCAAGATCCCATATTATAGGAGATCTATTTGGCATGATGCTGCATACATCCTCATGATGATGGTGTGATGAAATATTCCAATGCCACAACAGTTTATCCTTTATCTTGCCACCAAGAGCGCTCACGTATAAAAGAAATCCACCATAGTGTGATATCGCCAATAATTTATTGATAAAAAACCACCAATATTCTACTTACAAAGTCATAAAATCAAACCACATTTCAGCAATGATGAGGTCAGCATGGACTCCTCCTACCCTGACATACAGGTGAAACTCAAAAAATTAGAATATCATGCAAAAGTTCATTTATTTCAATAATGCAACTTAAAAGGTGAAGCTGATATAAGAGATAGACTCATTACATGCAAAGCAAGATAGTTCAAGCCGTGATTTGTCATAATTGGGATGATTATGTCTTACAGCTCATGAAAACCCCAAATCCACAATCTCAGAAAATAAGAATATTGTGAAAATGTGTAATATTCTAGGCTCAAAGTGTTCCACTCTAATCAGCTAATTAAGCCATAACACCTGCAAAGGGTTCCTGAGCCTTTAAATGGTCTCTCAGTCTGGTTCAGTAGGAATCACAATCATGGGAAAGACTGCTGACCTGACAGTTGTGCAGAAAACCATCATTGACACC